CACTGCGAGTCCTGACACATGATAATACAAAGAGATCATAAATGAATGAAGGCAACTAAGGACATGAGCAAATTGAACGCACGGTTGTGCGAAGGCACGCGTCTTCCCCTTTTCTCCTTTGCAAAGAATACACACGCATCTGCATACCGTACTGAATGAAGATCAAACCCGGGTCTTCGGTACCAGATCCCAGCGCCCTGTCCACCAGCCTGTCTTCTATATCACATACACTTAATGTTAATTAATGCACTAGGCTTGACATACACATCATTAATGATAGTCGGCAGATAACGTTCGCAATGAATGGATAGTTTCTTGTGGTATTTTAATCTTGTAAAAACTAGGTGACAGGTTCGCTTCACCGCACTGGTGACTAGACATAACGTGCTGTGGCAGACGAACGACACGGAGTGAGGGTGAGTTGAATTGTGACAACAGAGTTCAAAGTAGTAATATATTACACATTTATTTATGCGCGTGTGTGTGTGTTTGTGTGTATTTGTTATTATTGTAGTTAGCATCTGTCCGTCTTGCTATGCCACTGTTCCCTAAAGTCAGCGTTACCGCCCTCTATTTTTGCTAATATTTTATCTGCCGTCCTTTTTTAGGATGAAAGTTTTCGTTATTTGAAGCTCCACCCTGACTCTTGCTAGGGGCTGCAATATAGCCAGGCCATAAATATGGCCCAAAGGCTGAACGCGGTTTCTGTGACCTCTCCACGGTGATCCTCATCCACATGGTGGCACTTTGTGTCATCGGGTGTTTGTCGATTGTGTGATGTCCTGGTGGGGTAGAAAGTCAGTCAGTTACCGCCCTCGAAGGGTCTGGAACTGTTCAGGTCTGCGGTATGAGCCTCAGGTGTGGTGGCAATGCATAATAATAAGACAGTGGTGGCAGAAAAGAAGAGACGAAAATGTCGGTACTTGTTTGTATACGTTCCAATGAAGTGCAAGAGATTAAATTTGAAGTAATTAAATAATTTTAAATATATACATTTTTTATAGTTAATACCAGTCAAGTTAATCTGTCTAATTAAGACTGAAGGTAATAAGCCACTATAAAAACACTAAGACATGTCTACACTGGAGCCGTCATGCTAATGAATATGCCTCAAGATCCTAGGTCAAAGCGGTGAAAATTAATTTGTGAAAACTAAACAAAGGAGTGAAAACGGGCATTTTACTTGTACGTTACTTATACCTCTGGAAAGATCTGTGGAAGGAGGGATAGAGGAAGACAACGAGAGAAGATGCTTGACAGTCTTGTTGCATGGCATGGTGGTGTGTCGGCACACGAACTGATACATGCTGCAGGAGATCGCAGATTATGGAGAGGCATGATCGCCCACGCCAGTGGGCAAGGCACCTGATGATGATGATGATGTTACTTACACATGGCGTGTTGTAGATATCCGACTTACCCTTGAGATGTGCGTGTATACAGAGCACCCAGTCTTGTATATTTTGTAATGTGAGTACTGGGCGGTTTTTTTTTTCCTGCCGTGATGAATGGCGCTGCGAGGAGTTACCAGGGGATCTGGCCGACGCTCAACACTCAGGGAAGGATGAGACGGATATACAATCAGACAGTTACTGGTGCCATCAGAATTGCAACTCTTCGCTTGCTGCTGAAGATGGGGATAGAGCACTTGTGGGAGTGTCCCGAGTGCTGTGATGTCGATTCTTGATTCAACATTCAACATTCCTGCAGTGGGACACATCTGAAATAGGGTACTAGACCCATACATATCTGTATAGACCAGTTAATACTTAGTACATAGGTTAGTTGCGTATCCTTTACAGGACGTTGCAGAACCAATCCCAAGAGCCCCTGACTGTTGTGTGGTTATTTCAGGCAAATTTACATCCAGTAGTTTGCCATTGTTTTCTTGATTAAACTGTCGAAACCAACTCAAGGCGCATGGCACGCAGCTGGGATCGAACCCGGCATCCCGGCATTACGAAGCGTTCGCATTGACTTAGTCACAGAGCCGACACTTAGTACATAGGGTTTCACATAAAAGTCGTAAAAATGTGGGTGATTGTTGAATGTTGAATTAGGAATCGACATCACAGCACTCTGGACGCTCCCATGAGCGCTCCGTCCCAATCTTCAGGAGCTAGCAAAGAGTTCCAATTCCGATGGAACCATTAAATGTCTGATTTTATATCTGTCTCGCCTTTCCCTTGGGCGTCGGCCAGATCCCCCGGTAACTCCTGGCAGCGCCATTCTCCTCAGACCGGAATAGTCTATCTGTGCCTTCGCACTGTTCACTCGTTCTCAAAGGGCTCTCTCATCATCTAGCTTGTCAAAGAACAGTTTACCACCAAGTGGTACAGAACTAGCCAGTCTGTCTGCCTGTTCGTTTCCCAATACACTTGAATTACCTGGAGAAAAAATGGAAAGAAAGCTAACTTCCCCTGCCAGTGCCTCTTCCCCCAGCAAGCAGGCAATACTAGGGTGACCGTTTACTTCCTGCATTGAAAGAATATGTCCAATGTATTTTGTACTTAATAATAACAAGACTCATCGCTGGAGCTAGGAAGTGTGTGCCTTGTGCTTCATACCATCATCAGGTGGCAATTTAACGTGTGATATTATTGCAGTAAGCACGCCTTTGTTTTGTAGCCTGTAAATAGTGGTGTTAAGGTTGTCAAAACTGTGAAACATGTGACATCACGGTGCAGATAAACAAGGTGCCGCCATAATGACCGTTTACAGATGGCATAGCCACTTTTGACTGTCACCAAACGTTTTGTTATACCCCTTGGTTTCCTGTTGCTTTTATTTGTTTTAATCAGTGGTCTATATCATACCGGCTGTTTTTACTTCAAGGGAATTTTCCTGGTGCCAGTGTTGAGTTTGGTTGACCTGAGCTGCTCTAGGCGGGAAGCTCCGACGGACGGGCAGACGAGAAGATCTGTTCTAGGCGGGAAGCTCCGACGGACGGGCAGACGAGAAGATCTGTTCTAGGCGGGAAGCTCCGACGGACGGGCAGACGAGAAGAGCTGTTCTAGGCGGGAAGCTTACACGGACGGGCAGAGGAGAAGAGCTGTTCTAGGCGGGAAGCTTACACGGACGGGCAGAGGAGAAGAGCTGTTCTAGGCGGGAAGCTTACACGGACGGGCAGAGGAGAAGAGCTGTTCTAGGCGGGAAGCTCCGACAGACGGGCAGACGAGAAGAGCTGTTCTAGGCAGGAAGCTCCGACAGACGCGCAGACGAGAAGAGCTGTTCTAGGCAGGAAGCTCCGACAGACGGGCAGACAGAAAGAGCTGCTCTAGGCGAGAAGCTTCGACGGGCAGACAGGAAGAGCTGCTCTAGGCGGGAAGTTCCGACGGGCAGATAGGAAGAGCTGCTCTAGGCGGGAAGCTCCGACAGGCAGACGGGAAGAGCTGCTCTAGGCGGGAAGCTCCGACAGGCAGACGGGAAGAGCTGCTCTAGGCAGGAAGCTCCGACGGGCAAACGGGAAGAGCTGCTCTAGGCGGGAAGCTCCGACGGGCAAACGGGAAGAGCTGCTCTAGGCGGGAAGCTCCGACAGGCAAACGGGAAGAGCTGCTCTAGGCGGGAAGTTCAGGCGGGCAAACGGGAAGAGCTGCTCTAGGCGGGAAGCTCCGACAGGCAAACGGGAAGAGCTGCTCTAGGCGGGAAGTTCAGGCGGGCAAACGGGAAGAGCTGCTCTAGGCGGGAAGTTCCGACGGGCAGATGGGAAGAGCTGCACTAGGCGGGAAGCTCCGACAGGCAGACGGAAAGAGCTGCTCTAGGCTCTCTAAATGTGCCAATAACAACAACTGACGTAGCAAAGACTAGTAAATGAAACATTTATTATATAAATATATATAAAACATTCAGCTCAGCGTTATTACAAGAATATCTGTGTTTTTATTAGTAATATACTGTTAAACTAGTATTTTGTTCCTTGGGCATAGAAAATATTGTGTTTTACTCAAAATCCCGCTGGTTGTGCTACTTTGCAAGACATTTCCTGGCGCCCATGTTTGCTGTACTGACCTCAGCGCCCCTGGCCAATTGTGAACATCGACCTTGATGCAGAGTCGAACCCAAAACCTTCGGGTCAGCAGGCAAGCATAGTGAAAGCAGTAATAATCAATAAAATAGAGCCTATTTAACATTTAGGCTTATAATTGGGTTATAAAGCGTTCATTTACCTTTCCAGAGTGTACTTTCACTATTTCATAAGTCGTATAATAAAGCAGTTTGTATCCTTGTTGCTTGACTTTGAGCCCAGACCTTTTGGGCTGTGATTACAACTGATATTACTATACAATGAGTATTTGGGTCAGTTTACCAACCCTCTGCAAACACAGAAACAGATACCTCCATCTCCAGGTTTCTTTAAAAAAAAAAAAAAAATCCCCATCGGTGCAAAGAAACATCGTATACACAGTATTTTGATTCCAACCCTATTCTAGCAACGGAAACTCAACTCTGATCATAAAATAACATTAGTAACCTCGGAAAAATTAGTGCTGCAGGAGTGAGAAAAAGAAATAAAAGTAACAAAAAAAGTCATAAAAGAAAAAAATCTGCACAGGATCAATTGTAGATTACATAAAAAGAGCACATCAAATGGCCTGAACACTTAGGGAAAATGTCTTGTGATTGCATACCATACACGGCACACATAAAAGAGAAGGCCGGGGAGCAAAAGGTAGACCAAGAACAACATAGACAGATAACATTAGAGAAACGCTACAACAGTACGATTGTCTACGGCTGAGGTGAACAAGAAGAGCAAGAAACACAACCTTATGTCTCCCTCGACAACTGAAGCGGTAGAATAGGACGTTAAGAAGAAGAAAAGAATAATATACATCTGATGGTCTTTGTACATCCGCTTATCATCCTTAAGGGCCAGCTTCTGGCTGCTGTTGTTTTGTGTCTCTTTCCAGAGCATCATCTCTCACAGAAGACAAGTTCACATACAAGAGATACCAGCACTGGATATGCTTTTATTGAGCCTCTACACTGCTGTTCAAACATTATATACGATTATTTTCCATGTTACGTTCCTTTGACCTTTTCTTGACTACCGGATCCAATATTACAATGCCTGCAGCACTGTCGTCATTACCAGTAGGATTCAAACCAGCTCCGTCCTCACTAGCAACGGCGTCCAAACACCCGGTCCACCTGGCGTACAGGTACACAATCACTGCAAACACCAAGGCACCACTGAAGCCGAGGGCTGTATACCCGTGGAACTCAACCCGGAACTGGTTGTTGTCATAAAGAAGACAGCGCCCCCTGGAGAGACACTTGATGTCCCAAAGGAGGCAGGTTTTGTCTATGATTTTGCCAAAGACGATTGGCGCCAGCAGAAAACCTGCGAAAATGTCGAGAATTGAATGCAAAAATAACTAAATAACACATTTACAAAAAAAAAAAAAAAAAACGTCAAAAGTCATTTGGTTTGTTTTTATCATAGTGATTTTTTTGTAAAAAAGTATCCAGAAACCATGAGTTGTTTATGCTTTGGCTCGGAACTATGGATATCGCAATCCTTCGGCCTTGATTCCATGATAGGTACCTTAAATCTGAGAGAAATTTGGCCTTTCTGCCTACCCCCAGGCGTGAACCCGGACCACAAGAGGCTCGTCACCCAGTCGCCGCAAAGTCAGATCGAACCAACTACGCTAGCGAGCCAGGCATTATAGTGATAAATCAATTTAGCTTCATTGAAAAATCAGTTTTGTTACAGTAATAGTCAAATTTGTTACTGTGGTAGGTCAGCTTTTTTACAATGACAGTAAACTTTGTCAAATTGACAGACAGGTTTGTTACGACCACGCCCATCTGGAGTTATTACTATTAATTATAAATCTAGAGCTGGCGGTGGTTACGACGATCAGCCAGCTTTGATACAATGATAAATCAACTTTGTTACAGTGATTAGTCAATCTAGGTGCAACAATAAGTCAACTTTTTACCGTTGACCTTGCTGCTGTTCATATTTTCTGTTGTCTTGTGTGTGGAGTTGTCCAGTCACTGTCTGTGTTATATTTAGAGCTCGGTTGACAAAGTGAACCGATCGTAGTGTTTGTGCACATCTTTTCCTTTCCGGCTGTTAGGCTTTCCAGTCACACTTTGTATTGTATTAAGTAGTTCTGGAAACCAGCCAGACAGCAGTCACTCCTGTTTACGTCATCACTTCTTATATTGTCGTCTGGAGAGGTATGTCACTTTTTAAAAAGCTACAATGGACTTGACCTCCTTATAAAAGTCGTTGTAAAATTAAAAAAGAAAATGCAGTTGGAATATGACACATGAGTGTTTGGTAGGGCCGAATAGTAGGGCCGAATAGTAGGGCCGAATAGTAGGGCCGAAAAGTAGGGCCAAATAGTAGGACCGAATCGTAGGGCCGAATAGTAGGGCCGAAAAGTAGGGCCAAATAGTAGGGCCGAATCGTAGGGCCGAATGTAACATAGATCTGCGTGCCTGATTTGTAACCATTGAAAAGTCGTTCTTGTGTTCTTTTTCACGTTCACCTGTTGTAAACTCAAGCGGAAAGTCATGGTTGTTCGTCCATTTCTGGGCTTTAGCATTATTCTAGGACTTGAGTTTTACGTGCACATCTATTTTACAGGTGTGGCTTTTTGTGTGTGCAGACTTTTGGTTCCTTGCTGCTTACACAGATGCTGTTTGAATTTGAAGAAAAAGGTCGATCAAATACATTAGCTATTTCCCGGTTTCAGAATTCATTTTTAGGATGACCGTAAAGAGGTTTGTTGTTGTTGTTGTTGTTGTTGTTGTTGTTGTTGTTGTTGTTGTTCTTGTTGTTCTTGTTCGTCGATGACAAGAGATAAAGAGCTCTCTTTTTGTCATCTATCATCAAACTATAGCTGCATGTCCGTGAGTCTGGGACTGATTTATAACTCTTTCTGTCCCAAGGAAAGCATCATACGTTCATAGGTTCCTACATAGAAGCCCAATGAACGCAAGATGCGCCAATTTTACGTCTCTTTTGACTACGCCTTGGGCTTTTGATGCTAAACCGTCTGGGACTCAAAGAGATAAGGCCAATAGGAGCCCAGAAGGATCTAGAACAATGAATAAAGGGAACAGTGTTTGCAGGTAAAGGTCCTGTACAAGCGTCTTTCTAGCCTGTATTACCTGTTTAACTGCACTTGCTCTAAATACCTTACATGTCGCTGAGTCTCTACGGGTAGACGTTCACCAAACAGCCCGGTCTTGTGCAGCGTCCCCCCCCCCCCTCCCCGCCCCTAGTGTCAGAGTTTATACGTAAGACTTTAAGTGATGCCTATAGGGTGTACTTGAAGCGGGGATTTTTCCTGGCCATCTTGAAAGAGCGTCTACCTTGTTGTATCTTACTATAAAATTCCTTTGGGGGGAGGGGGGGGTCTAGAGGAAAAGGTCTGGCAAACAATGTGACCAGCTGTGTGGGTGGGGTCCGGGGGTCTGTTCCTGTGTGAACCCGGGCTCTGGTGTAGCACCAGCACCAGTGGATCAGCACCTTTGTATCCCAGTCTTGATATACTGGCAAGGCTAACCCGGTCAACAAATGCCTGCAGAAGTCGGATGTGTCGGCCGAAAGGAGCAAATATCGCAGCTATGATTTAAACGAGCACAACGCAATTACATCTTCGGATGAACGCAGGAGTATCCCAGCCTTGATACAGTAAGGCATCTCACATGTGACCTCAGCTCCAATCACATTTGCCATATCCTCCATGAGAAAGTGTCAAATAGCAGAGTTAGCAGACGATATCCTAGCACTCAGGATATCACCATAAGCGCTTCATCCACATCTTCAACAGCAAGCTCAGAGTTCCCGTTCTAGTAAGAAAGTAAAATAAATATCTCTTTTCACGCCTTAGGCGCATCGGGCATATGGGAAGAGCGCCCATATTTTTACAGACCATAGGCACTAGATGGATTTACTTCCCCAAGACAGCCATCCTGGTACCCATTTTAGGCTGGGTCGACCTGCGACACCACATACCATGATAAAAATCCACACAGCCAGCAGTGGGTTTCGATCGCGGTACGTTGGAATATGAGTAGGACTTGCAACGCCTATGCCACGGACGCCGCGAGTTTCCGTTCTGATAACCCATTGAGTCTCATTGTCTATCCATCTTGCCTTTCCTCTAAGATGACGTAAATGTGGGGTAACTGTAATCAATGTGATGACTTTAAGTACTTCTTTTTCCTTTCTAGCCCCCAGTGAAGCATAGAACCTCAACCAACTCACGCCAAGTCCTTCTATCCCTCGCTATCGCATGCCGCTCTTCCCATGTCCTCTCAATCTGTTTAACTTCTCTCTAGCTCCCTTCTCCGTTTGTTCTTTGGTTTACCTTTATTTCTATGCCGTGTGGTTTCCAGTGCATAGAAATTCTATTGTTCTCAGGTTTTCGCAACGTGTGTCCTATCCAACACCAGCGTCTTTTCTTCACCTCTTGGTCCACTAGAACTTGTTTAATTTTCTCCCAAAGCTCTACATTAGTGATTCTATCTATCTATCTATTGTCTTCTTCACTTTTACCGGGTTGCAGCCCAGTGTCGTGGTTTAAAATATTTGTTTTGTGCCTCTCGCGTGATTTGAGTGACAGTTTTCTGGATCTTCTGGCCGTATTCAGCTACTCCATCAATCCATTTTTTCCTGGGTCTTCCTCTGGCCTTTCTTCCCGATGTTCTACTGTAAAAGGCCTTATAGGCAATCTGATCCGGTTGCATTCTTACTAAATGGCCAAACAACTTCATTCTCTGTCTTTCAATAAGTTTCATGCATGCTCCTGTTCCAACTTTGTCTCTAATGTGCCGTTTGTGACTCTGTCTCTTCGTGTAATTCTATAAAACCATTTAATTCCCTCAATTCTGCGCAGGCACCAATAATGAATGTTTGTAGTTTATTAGTAACTGCCTTAGTTGTTCTCCGTGTTTCCGCTTCATACATCAGTAAACATAAATGTGACCAGAAAGATTAACAGAAGAAATAGAAAAGACGCCTACATATAAATTTGAAAGTTTTGACGGTTGATAAAAACTTTGGTCGAAACATTCAATTGTATTTGTGCGCCCCTTTACCCTTTCCTCTTTTGAGCTTTACATGCACATTTATGTTGTTTTTAGTACTTTCGTCGAGTCTGAAATAATGTGACACACGTACGAAAGGACAGGTGTATTACCAAAAAGTGTCGTCATGAATGGGGACACGGAAAGAGCCATAGATTTGTCTTTATCAGGAACACACCTGTAATAACAATGTAAACATTACGTGTAAGTATGATTGTGAATGTGACTGTATGTGTGTATCTATATATGTTGGTGCGTGCGTAACACTGTTAAATAAAAGACTCACACGTTTGGCAGGGATAGAAACTGTTAAATTGAAGGATAAAACAAAACGAAAAGACAGACGGGAGTAAGTGAGTAAAGTAAAGATCCCTTTTCACGTTTTAGGCGCATCGGGTATATGGGAAAAGCATCCATATTTTTACAGACCAATCGGCACTAGGTGGGTAATGTGGTCAGCATTACGCTAGCCGTCTTCACCTCCCCAGGTCATACATACTGGTACCCACTTTAGGCTGGGTCGACCTGCGACACCCCGTACCATGATCAAAATCCATGTAGCCAGCAGTGGGTTTCAATCGCGGTATGTTGGAATTACGAGTCGGACTCGCAACGCCTAAACCGCGGACGCCGCACAGACGGTAGTGACAATTTCGTATACAGATAAATGAACAAAAGAGACAATGGAACAGGTTTATTACTGTAGGCACAGCAACAATATTCCTAGGTGTGTTACTAAACTGTATCTAGTCTATTGTTTGAGTGTAAGAATTAGCCATACTTTGGCACGGTTGACCACAAAGGTCCAGCTAAAACCTCAAGTATGATGCTGGCGATGGCTGCGATCAATAGAGTTCTGGGATAGCTAGCAGATGCTGGGGTCAATGGGCCGAGATGCAGATCTGCTGAACCATACGTGGAGGAAGGACAGCAGAACTGGGGCTCTTAGTCGAGACCTATTTACAGCTCTCCACAGCAAGCCTAGAAACGGGTTCCCACCTGGGGATCTGGCCAACCTAGATGGGATAGACGTTTCCTTTGAAGTCGGAGTGCATCTGCGTGAGAGGAGAGGAACCAACAGTCTGCACATAAATCAACCAGATCTGTAAAACTGAAGAAGATTGTCCGTCAGAATTTACATTCGGCGAAGGAGTTGTCTTTGGTTCTCAGTCTGTGTGGCGCGAAGGTCGAACAGACTGACTGACGTTGATGTTCCGTCCAGGACAAGTATGTAAACAACCCTCTTCCGCGCCTTTAGGCGTATAGGGCATATAGGGCTAGACCTTTATTGTATAGACCGACGGCACATTTGGGTGATGTGGTCAGCATAACGCCGGCCGCCTCTACTTTTCAGAACTGCATCCGGTACCCACTCAAGGCTGGGTCGACCTGGGACAAGATCATTTTTGAAAAAAAGTCCGGCTCCACCAGGGAGCAAACCCACGACCTTCCGATCCGCGGCGCGCGTCTAGTGGCTTCGCCACTGCGACTCCCTCCAGGACAAGTATGGGCACTAAATTATCGTTAGTTCTCAAGGTGTTTAATTTATTAATTAGAATATCATGATCTACCATATCGAAGACTTTCTCAAAGTACACAAAAACAGTTCCACAAATGTTATAATTGTTGTTTTTACAATGCCAGTTGTCAGTCACTTTGTCAAGGCAGCTGAAAGGAATATATAAGTCTGAATCTTGATTAACTATCGATTATTGTCAGTTAAACGCTGCAGTATAATTTTATGTACGTGTTTCTATAATGGTTATCATAGTGACGATTGGACAGCAATGGGTCTGTAATTACCCCAAGAGTTGTTGTCAACTGAATGTTGAATGCTGAAAGTGGATAACATAGCACTCGGGACACTCACATAAGCGCTGGGTCCCTATCTTCAGCAGCCAGCGAAGAGTTCCAATTCCAATTTTACCAGTAACTGTCTACTGGTATAGTTTTGAGTAGAGGATACACTTTAACTGCTTTAAATGCTGATGGAAAGTAATTCTAGGCAAATACTTGATTGCTTAAGAACGTTAAGTAATCACTAATGACTGGCGTAGGACGGGGCGATGAATTGGGGGGGGGGGGGGTTATGGTTGCATAGCTAGTGTCGTGCAGGTTGGTTTGTTGTTGTTGTTGTTGTTGTTGTTGCCCCGACAGCCAACTCTCCCCCTCCCCTAAAATTTATATAACCCTAACTGTGGACTCGAAACAGGCTCTCTTGTACGTGGACCTAGAGTTCTAGGCATTTTTTTTTTTATATTTTATTTGCAACTATTTCATTAGAATAAATTAATCTCAACACCACATCGATGATCATTATGATCACGGACATACCTCATGTAGACGATCATGACAGCAACTAGTGACAGCATAAAGCTGAAATTCCGCAGACCCGCTGCCACGACGTAGCCATAAAGTTGGGGACAGTCTTGGTCGCAGACGCCTGGAGCAGCCTGCCCTCCGAGTATACAGGAGCAGTTCTGGTACACCTGGTTGTATAAATAAAACACTGATCATAATTTATTCCAAAGAAGATGGTGAAACACCGGGTACATCGTGAGGACAATCGGGCAAAGATTCAACAGGCAGGCAGTGAAATGGGAAACAAATCAGATGAGGAAATGGGGATATCTTAAAGAACCCCTAAAACAAAAGGGTGATGATAGAAGCCAAAGGTGCTTGACTGCGTGAGACTGACAGGATTCCTCATGACAGAATGGAATGGAGGAATCCACGGACAACAGAGAGACGAGTCAATGCAAAGAAAACAAATGGCGGCGAGAAAAGGGAGACAGGACGAGGGGCTAATTTGGGGCCTGATAATATCCTAGGTCCCTGTGGATGGCTCAAACTATTAACTGTTGTCGTTGCTATCACTTTTGTGCTGAATGAAAAATAAAAATAAAGGTATAAAAAAGCGAGGAGAGTGGGGTGGGGTGGTGGCTCTGACAACCTGGTTATAGGGGCGCCAGAACATGAAGGCACACATATATCAGACTCCCTCACACCTCCCTAAATAGAAAAGTAATTTGTTATAGAGCTAAGTCGCCCTCTCCCCCCGCCCCTACGCCCCTCCTCGGGGGGGGGGGGGGCGACCATTTAAAGAATTTCAAAATTAAAGTTTGTCTTTATACGTACAGAATTTTTTCACGTATTGTGGAGTAATGTTGACCACATCACCCGTCTTGTGCCGATTGGTTTATAAAAATATAGGTCTAGCCCTATATGCCTTATTCGCCTGATGGCGTGGAAAGGGGTCCTTTATTTTTTTTTTAATTGTATTTCTTGGCATGCAGCAGATTGACGTTATTGATTTTTTTAAAATAATGAAGCATCTAAACAAGTCTGAAACCCCTAGATCCCCTCGCTAGAAACCTTGTTAGAGGGATTGTCCCCCAGCCCCAAGTTGTTGTGTGTGTCAGCGCCCCTGGGTAGAGCTACTGGTTACAACACACATCGTGGACAGATCAGATCCATTTGTTACAACACGTATCACAGACAGATCCATTTGTTACAATAGGTATGACAGACAGATCCATTTGTTACAATAGGTATCACAGACAGATCCATTTGTTACAATAGGTATCACAGACAGATCCATTTGTTACAATAGGTATCACAGACAGATCCATTTGTTACAACAGGTATCACAGACAGATCCATTTGTTACAATAGGTATCACAGACAGATCCATTTGTTACAATAGGTATCACAGACAGATCCATTTGTTACAATAGGTATCACAGACAGAGCCACTGTTAATACGTATACGCAAAAAGGCACGAAAACAGACACACAGGCAACTACTTCACACATACACACATGGTACTCATACAGATATCGTCACCTACCCCATGCTCCGCCTGGAGACAGCCGGCGTGACAAGGAGAGTAGTAGGTCCTGCCGTCGTCTCCACAGATGGGGAAGTAACTGTTGTCCCTGCAGTTACATCCCCTGTTGCAGCTGTTCTCCTCACTGTAAAAAACAAAAAAATTCGATTTGGTTTGTCACCAATTGTGAGAGGAGCTGTCTGTGATGCAGCGGCTAGACGGGTGTTCAGCTCCTGCCGAAGCCGAGTTTTTTCTTTTAAAAATGACCTCACATGTCGACCAAGATTACATGGGAACTATGTAAAGTCATGGAAAGTAAAGGCGGCCGGCATAATTTGACAAAATCGCCAACTCAGTTTTACAATATATATATATATAGGTCTAGCCCCATATGCTTAGTACGCTTAAAGGCGTGGAACATTTTCCTTTACTTCCTGATTGTGAAAGGAGCCCTTGGCTCAACAGTTAAGAATTCAGGGCTGTAATGGTGCCCAGATTTGAATCCTTCTTAAGGTTGGGGATATTTTTCTAACATGCGGCAAAATAAAATCATCATCTGTATAGTTCGGGGCAACAGCACTAGCTATTCGACCATGAATCCTGAGGCTCAAATACGTGCTGTCTATACCCAGGACCGGATTCGGATGCTTTGATGTCCTCATCACTTTACAGCTCATACTTCCCTCAACCACTCCCAAAAGCTGTCTAAACTGCTTTGTAGGTCCCTGGGCAAACAGTGTGCTGGGGCCCCTACTATAACCAGCTCAGATGAATTAGATATAAACAGTCACTTGACATACACAGATTAGCATGGAGCCTCAATACCCGGGGGCCCCTGAGTAAGTTTTCCAGCGGGTTAAGACGGCCCTGGTGACCTCACTTCTGACCACGACCCGACTCTCTTATGGCCACACCCCGACTCCCTTCTGACCACTCCCCGACTCTTTTGACCAGACCCCTAACTTTCACCTGCATACGCCCTCTTTCTTCTGACCACGTCTCGACTCTCTTATGACATCGCCCTGGCTCTCTTCTGACCACGCCCCGACTCTCTTCTGACCACGCCCCGACTCTCTTCTGGTCACGCCCCCTACTTTTTTCTGTGACCACGCCCCGACTTACTTTTGACCACACCCCGACTCTCTTCTGACCACACCCTCCCACTATCTTCTGACCACGCTCGGACTATCTTCTGACCACGCCCCGACTATCTTCTGACCACGCCCCGACTATCTTCTGACCACGCCCCGACTCTTTTCTGACCACGCCCCGACTCTCTTCTGGCCACACCCCGACTATCTTCTGACCACACCCCGACTTACTTCTGACCACGTCCTGACTATCATCTGACCACACCCCGACTTACTTCTGACCACGTCCTGACTATCATCTGACCACACCCCGACTTACTTCTGACCACGTCCTGACTATCATCTGACCACACCCCGACTTACTTCTGACCACGTCCTGACTATCATCTGACCACAACCTTTACTTTCGTCTGACCACGCTCCCTAAAACTTCTTTAACTAAACTTGAAGTCTGTTGTAACGTGACAACAAACCGCTGTGTGGTACTAGTTATAATGTGGTACTAGTTATAAAGTGGTACTTGTTACAGTGTGGTACTTATTACAATGTTGTCTTCGCGTTTACTGGGTGTACACCCCGACGGAAAGTTCTGGCTGTTCATCCACATTTGAACTTTAGACTTGTACCAGGCCCTGATTGCTGCGTGCACATCTGACTTATTTGTTGTTTTTTTTATTTGCATCTTACGCAGATGCACTTCGACTCCAAAGAAAACCATTATTTAGTCGACTCTTACGACATGTTTGTCGGGAAATTTTGGGTCCGTTCTTGTTTTCCCTACAAAGGTAAGGGGACCACACAGAGAGTTATAATGTTGTACTCGTTATAATGTACTCGTTATAATGTACATTTTATAGTGGTGTACTTTTAAAATGCAGTACTTCTTAAAATGTTGTACATGCTATAATAATGTACTACATGCTATAGTGCTGCACTTGTTATAATTCTGAACTTCTTATAATATTTTACATGCCATAGTGATATATATGTTATAATAAAGTACCCGTTAAAATGTTGTAAATATTACAATGTTGCGCTTGTTATAATGTTTTACTTTTTATAATGTTGCATTTGTTGCAATGTTATACTTGTTATAATGTTGTATTTGTTATACTGTGACACTTGTTGTAATGTTGCACTTGTTGTACTTGTATAATGTTGTACATGTTATAATATTGTCCATTTTATAATGGTCTACTTGTTACAACGTTGTACTTGTTAAAATGTTGTACTGGTTTTAATGTTGCACTAGCCGTGTCATTATTGTGTGTTTGCTATGGTAAGACAAGAGAGGGTGGGAGAAAGTTCTGCATAATATACTCTCACCTGGGCCAATTGTGCACGGTCGGTTGCTCACACTGAAAAATGAACATCAGGAAATGAAAGATAAGGGCAGCGATAATTGTAACGATGATAAACTTGACGCTGGTTATAGCTGTCATCTTGTAACGTTTGCTCAAAATTCCGCCCACAAATGTTCCAGTAGACGACGTGAACAAGTAGAGACCTCCTGAAAATTATAAAATATGTTTCCAGTTTTGTCTTCCAGTTAAGTTGCAAAGATCGAAGTACAAACTGTAGGGCTGGTGAACAAAGTAAGAAAACAAGAAAATATTGTTGAAGCTGATGTCTAGATTACTAGGAACTACTATTAATTTTGCTAAATAATTTCAATAATTGTATTATCTGAAAGCCTGGATTCAAAAACAAAAGTAAAGAGATGACACCAAATTAAAAACAATATTGCTCTATTCTTTTTCTCCCCTTTGTTGCCCCTACATGAAGGAACCGTGTAGTGTTTTAGTTTTTATGTTCGGTTGTGACAATTTTCTGCTCCTTTCTGATCGGCGCCTTTAACTTCAGCGTACTTTTTCTGTTAGGATGAGCTTCCGTAGTTCCTGGTCGATGAGCTTCCTTAGTCCCTGGTCGATTACCTTCCTTAGTCCCCGATCGATTACCTTAGTCCCTGGTCGATTACCTTCCTTAGTCCCTGGTCGATTACCTTCCTTAGTCCCTAGTCGATGAGCTTCCTTAGTCCCTAGTCGATTACCTTCCTTAGTCCCTAGTCGATTACCTTCCTTAGTCCCTAGTCGATTACCTTCCTTAGTCCCTAGTCGATTACCTTCCTTAGTCCCTGATCGATTACCTTCCTTAGTCCCTGGTCGATGAACTTCCTTAGTCCCTGGTCGATGAGCTTCCTTAGTCCCTGGTCGATGAGCTTCCTTAGTCCCTGGTCGATGAGCTTCCTTAGTCCCTGGTCGATGAGCTTCCTTAGTCCCTGGTCGATGAGCTTGCTTAGTCCCTGGTCGATGAACTTCCTTAGTCCCTGGTCGATGAACTTCCTTAGTTCCTGGTCGATGAGCTTCCTTAGTCCCTGGTCGATGAGCTTCCTTAGTCCCTGGTCGATGAGCTTCCTTAGTCCCTGGTCGATGAACTTCCTTAGTCCCTCGTCGATGAACTTTCTTAGTCCCTGGTCGATGAGATCCCTTAGTCCCTGGTCGATGAACTTCTTTAGTCAGTGGTCGATGAACTTCCTTAGTCCCTGGTCGATGAGCTTCTTTAGTCCCTGGTGGATGAGCTTCCTTAGTCCCTGGTTGATGAACTTCCTTAGTCCCTGGTCGATGAACTTCCTTAGTCAGTGGTAGTTGAACTTCCTTAGTCCCTGGTCGATGAACTTCCTTAGTCCCTGGTCGATAAACTTCCTTAGTCAGTGGTAGTTGAACTTCCTTAGTCCCTGGTCGATGAGCTTCATTAGTCCCTGGTCGATGAGCTTCCTTAGTCCCTGGTCGATGAGCTTCATTAGTCCCTGGTCGATAAACTTCTTTAGTCCCTGGTCGATGAACTTCGTTAGTCCCTGGTCGATGGACTTCCTTAGACAGTGGTCGACGAACTTCCTTAGTCCCTGGTCGATGAGCTTTCTTAGTCCCTGGTCGATGAGCTTTCTTAGTCCCTGGTCGATGAGTTTCCTTAGTCCCTGGTCGATGAGTTTCCTTAGTCCTTGGTCGATGAGCTTCCTTAGTCACTTGTCGATGAACTTCTTTAGTCCCTGGTCGATGAACTTCCTTAGTCCCTGGTCGATGAACTTCCTTAGTCCCTGGTCGATGAACTTCTTTAGTCCCTGGTCGATTAACTTCCTTAGTCCCTGGTCGATGAACTTCTTTAGTCCCTGGTCGATGAGCTTCCTTAGTCCCTAGTCGATGAGCTTCCTTAGTCCCTGGTCGATGAACTTCATTAGTCCCTGGTCGATGAGCTTCCTTAGTCCCTAGTCGATGAACTTCTTTAGTCCCTGGTCGATGAACTTCATTAGTCGATGGTCGCTGAACTTCCTTAGTCAATAGTCATTGAGCTTCCTTAGTCCTTGGTCAACCAAAACCTATTCATGGGACAACGGAGCTGCGGGGCCATAAGGATAACGACACATGTGCTACTCCCACAGGGTCGAACCACACACCTATTGTCGGAAGAAAACACACTGAAACATTTATTCACAGGCCATGACAAAGTTTACGGTTTAAAAATGTACAGAAAATGTTCATTACTGTAGTTTGTGATTTGACTGGGAACATACAGGCTGAAGCTTTTACAGATGGCTCTGCGGTTAATCTTACCTATAAAGGGCTGCGTTTCAACTCTGGCGTTTAATGCCTTGGTATTTGCAACGTTTAGACGCTGAAAAGGCCTTGCGTCTGTTAATCAGTCAATCGAAGTTTTAGCTTCAGGGCTAACGGGTCGCCCACATAGTTGCTCAGTTCTTGTGCCAGGGAAAACCTCATAGAATGCTCACCGCTGTCCTTTGTGGAGAAACATGTTTTGACAACCAGAAAGATCTATTAAAACAAAGACAGTGAGACAGAAAGTGAAGTTTCCTGACAGCGATTGTCCTTGCATGGGAGTGTGTCAGCATATGGGCTAATATACGTGCTGTTAGAGGGGTTGTGAAGAGGTATGATTGCCCATGCCAGTTGGCACGGTACTTGACAATGGTGATGATGAGGACGATACAAATAATAATTATCATTATATGCCCTGCCAACTGGCGAGGGCGCTCATGCGTCTCCACAGATCACGATCCCTGGTTGTTTGGAACAGCTCTCTTGATGATATCCCTCCATGCCATCGTTTCAGCCCATCCAGCATCATCTCTCTAGGTCCGCCTCTACCCCTTTTTCAACTGATCTTTCCAGTTATCACGATGTTCTCCACTGTCTCTCTTCTCATTATGTGTCCAAATAACAGTGTTTGTCTCTTTCTTGATACAAATAATGATGATGATAAATAGCATTCTCAGTTGATCCACTCTACGAGACAGTACATAGTTTTAAGATTGTCGTAAATAACATGTCTTGTAGTTGTCTGGACGCGTTAGTCGACAAAGCTGAGATTGTCCTAACGAAACTGTGCTCAAGTTGGCTGTGAGGTCAGTCTATAATGCTGCTGTTTCTGAACTCACCTGTGATATAGTTGGCGGTATGAGCCGGCAGGTGAAACATCCTCTCCAGGTACTTGGGGAAGAATGTGAAGTTACCTACTATCATGAACAAGAGGAAGCAGGAGAAGATAATCAAGCAGACGTAGACGGGGTTTATTAGTAGCCGATACAAGGACGCCAGAAATTCTGCGAACAAAACGAAAAATGGCACCAATGAGTGGATAATTCAAAAAGAACACAGAGGTAAATAATTCACATATAATTAATTCCTTAAATTCTCTTCTCTCCTGCCAGAAAATTGTGATTCTACGTAGACATGTGTGGTGGAAGGTGGACAGCTTGTGCGCATCCTTTTTGGTCATTATCCAGCATTCTGCTCCATGAAGAAGAACTAGCAAAATGATGCTCTTGTAGAGTCGGAGTTTTGTTCCTCTGCAGTAACTGTTGGATTTCCAGATTTGCCTCATCCTCCCAAAAGCAGCTCTAGCTTTATTAAAGTGTGACTGTATGTATTCCTTTGTCCCTTCTAGCACGGACGCCCCACTGCCAATATATATGAACTGTTCTATATTTTCAAGTGTTTTGTTATTTATGGTCACTTGTTGTTGGTTTTGATTGTTTGCAATGATCTTAGTTTTCCTCGTATTTTTCTTTTTCAGTTCCACCATTTCTGCTTTGCTGCGTAATTTGTTACTTTTGAATATTTTGATGTTTATTTGATAGGGGTGCTGTCATCTGCAAAATCAAGGTCCTCAAGCATGGTGAATGGAGTCCATCGTATTCCTCTCTATGTCTTGTCTGCTGTGTTCTTTAGTATTCAATCAATCACAAGGTTGAAGAGGAGGGATGACATAACACATCCCTGTCTTACACCTGTCTTTAGTAGGAAAGATGAAATTTTTTTTATACTGCGGGAAAAGTCTTTATTGAAGAGAACAGTTGTGTTGACTCTCTTCTCTGGAATTCCATAATGTGATAATATTTTCCAGAGACTCTCTATGGACGATGTCAAAAGCTTTCTCAAAGTTTACAACATGCATATATATACTTCTCTGCGATTCATTGCATCTTTCTAAAATGTTACGTAGGAGGAAGATGAGCTCAGCTGTTCCTCTGCCATTTTTGAATGCTGCTTGATGTAAAATCATTATTATGCGGCTCAAAGAGGGAGTAGATAAATGCCTACATGTGCTAGGATCGCCTGCTCCGTAAACCTCTCAAAGTATAGCGGCCGACAAAGCGAGTTGTATTTGTTAATTATCATTATTTTTTGTGGCTAACCGCGTTCAACTTGCTCTTCCTAGACTATGGTTGCAGATTCACAGTCATCACGTGGAGTCTGACTATGGGTGTAGATTCACAGTCATCACTTAGAGCCTGACTATGGCTCCAAATTCACATTCATCACTTGGAATCTGACTATGGGTGTAGATTCACAGTCATCACTTGGTTTGCGCAAATGTCTTACTTCCCTTGAAGCATTCAGTGTATCAGACTGGTCAATAGTTTCTCCGCCATTCATAGTAGTCATACCTGCAAACCTATCAGCTTGCTCGTTTCCTTGTACACCTGTATGCTCTGGCAGGAAAATGAAATTCATCTTTGTTGGCCATGACCGCCTTTTAACTAGCAACCACTGTCTTTAACAGTGACATGCCCGGAATCGTGGTTGTTGGGCACAATATAAACAATTTACGTTATGCTGATGACACAGTCTTGATAGCAACAAGTCAGAAAGAACTACAGGAAATGATAGACATTGTGGTGTTAGAAAGTGGAAGAATGGGCCTCAGTTTGAATAATGGGAAGATAGAAGTAATGGTGGTATCAAAGAAACAAATTATTCCTAAATGTGTAATAAAAGTCGATAGTGTTATTTTAGGACAAGTACAGAAATTTAAGTATCTGGGCACATGGGTAACATCAGATGGAAGATGCATAACTGAGATAAGAAACAGAATAGGACAGGCAAAAACTTTTTTTTATAAAATGAAAAACATCTTGTGCCTTGTCACTGAGAGTTAGAAAAAGAATTCCTGCTTACTACATACATCAAGTTTTAACATTTTAACATATGGCTGTGATTCCTGGACAATCGGTAGGCAGGCCAAATAATTTCTTGAGGCCTCAGAGAGGTGGTTTTACAGAAGAAGGCTTAGAATTCCTTGGACAGCCAAAAAGAGCAACCAAGAGGTTTTGAAAGAGGCGGGAGCCCGAAGACAACTTATCACAGACATCAGAAGGAGACAGTCATCATTTTTCGGCCATGTTATGAGAAGAGGGAAAATAGAACATGTTGTGACCACTGGAAAGATATGTGGAAGGAGGGATAGAGGAAGACAACGAGAGAAGATGCTTGACAGTCTTGTTGTATGGCATGGAGGTGTGTCGGCAAACGAACTGATACATGCTGCAGTAGATCGCAGATTATGGAGAGGCACGATACGCCTACACTAGTCGGCAAGGCACCTGATGATGATGATGATGATGATAATGTCATTAAAAATAGAAAATGGATTACAACGGGTCAGTAGGAAGATTAGAGGGAAAGAGAGGCAGAGGAAGACAGATAGAAAATATGCTGGACAGTTTAACGTCATGGCATGGAGCATCATCTGTGTTAGGGTTGATTGAAACTACCCGAGACAGAAATTTGTGGATAGACACAACTATTAACGCCACACGACATAAACTTTTGAGAAAAAGTTTGCTTTTATTTTTGAAACTCTTCAATACCACAGCCGAAATCATCGCAAAGTGGTCTTCTGCCAAATCGACAACAGCTGCATTAAACCGGTATGGCAAACCTGTTCGTAGTATGTAAACATTAGACACAGTTCAGTTACTTGTAGTGCAAGATAACATATATATGACTAGTGATCTGTCTTACCTCTAGCGTGTTTCAACATTGATTTCAATGTAATACTTCCATGAGCATTTGCTGTATGACAGCCCATATCACTGTGTGTCTGTATGTATTGTCCCAGTCTGTGTTGATTAGACAGGTTTTCCACCTCAGCTCGCCTAAACACAGACAACCGAGAGAACAGACAATGTAAGATAACACAGACAGACAGGGACAATGTTTAGTTAAATATTTGTTCTATTCGTTAATCAGAGCAATATATGTTAGTTTACTGAGTCTACAACTCCTCTCTCTCTCTCTCTCTCTCTCTCTCTCTCTCTCTCTCTCTCTCTCTCTCTCTCTCTCTCTCTCTTTCTTTCTCTCTCTTTTTCACACACACACTCACACAAACACACACACAGTCTATCCTGAGACTTCTCTGGTGGTGCAATCTAAAAGTCTCTCCTTTGTATTCTTGTGTCTATCTTCTTTTTTTTTTTTTTTATAATCTACTGAATAAAGTGCTTGGTACAACACTGCATGTTTCTATTGAAAAGCCTTTCTTCTGTGCCCACGGTGGTTCGTGTTATGATATTCATAAAATTCAAAATGGCTGCTGGCGGGCCTACGTTCGGTCTGACCAAGTGCTTTATACATTAGTATTGCGTGTGTACGGACAGGTTATCGTGACTGACTATTTCTTGTAACAACAAACTGTCGTTCTGGTAGCAACAGTTGGTGTCTGCACCTCTAGCAAGTGCCTTGTGCATTTACTACGTGTACATGTTTCTGAATTTTTCCGGGGCTAACCATTTGTTCACAAGTTTTCAGTTGGTACAGTGAAGAGCCATTCACGTGATTTTCTCTGGCGCAGGAACGGACCGATTATGTGGTCACTCGTTTGCCGTGAAGTTCCAACCTGAATTACTTTTTAATGCCTGTTTTTTTTTTTTTTTTTGTCTAGTAACAATGTTATTGTGGTGTAGCGATGAGACGTTTAGCTACCAGAATAAAGGTTTGAGGTTCGAATCATATAATAATACGGACCTGATAAAAAAAATATTTTATGACCAAATGTTGTCGGGTCGAACCAGGCGGAAATGAGTACCAGATAATAATGATTTGATTCAAGAACCGACATCACAGAACTCGGGGCATTCTCAATAGCGCTCCGTCCCCATGTTCAGCAGCCAGCGAAGAGTTCCGATATTAATGGTGCCAGTAGCATTCTGATTGAACGTCCGTCTTGCCTTTCCTCTGAGCCTCGAGCATCTGCCAGAACCTCTGGTCAACCCCCCCCCCCCCCCCCCCCCCCTGCATCAATCTCACCAGACTGTGGTGATCCATCTGCTCCTCCGAACTGTACACGCTCTCCCGCAAGGCACTAACCACGTCTGCCTTATCATGTTACTAGATAATATCGAATGTGAAATCGTCCATCACTAGGAGGGTAATGCGCTCGATATCACAATGGTCGCCTTTACTCCCCAGTAATTTCCTATTACCAGTTAGGGACAACCTGGGAGCTGAAGTCAGCTTTAGACATCCGGCTCGCCCGATCAACAGACAGTGGGCTGGCCACCGCTGTACCACGGATCCCTATCAGTATAACAACAAATGTAGCAACATTAACACAACAATAACAGCAAGAGTAACAGCAACGTTACCATTAATAACAGTAATATCAGCAAGAGTAACAACAACATTAAAAATCATCATCATCAGCATGTGCACTGCCAACTGGCGTAGGCGCTCATGCGTCTCCACAGATCACGATCCCTGGTTGCCTGGAACAGCTCTCTTGATGATACCCCTCCATGCTATCGTTTTATCCCATCCAGCATCATCTCTCTTGGTCTGTTTCTACCCCTTTTTTCACTGATCTTTCCAGATCATTAACAATAACAACAGTAATAACAGCGAGAGTAAAAGGAACAGTATCAATAACAACAACAATAACAGCAAGAGTAACAGGAGCAGTAACAATAACAACAATAATAACAGCAAGAGTAACAGGAACAGTAACAATGACAACAACAGCAAGAGTAACAGGAACAGTAACAATGACAATAACAGCAAGAGTAACAGGAACAGTAACAATGACAATAACAGCAAGAGTAACAAGAACAGTAACAATGACAATAACAGCAAGAGTAACAGGAACAATGATAATGTTATGTACCCGGTGATCAGTTCCTCATCCACGTCAGCATCCTTGACCTTCTGTCTTTGTAGTTTGCGCGGGAAACAGAAGAGTGGAACGGCGGTGACCAGAGCCAGCAGCCCAAACACGATGAAGCCCAGCCACCAGGCCCCGATCCATTTTGGATGACGTGGCGTTAGCTGTGTGGCTGGGGGGAAAATATGTTTTTGAACCCTTTCCTTCGCCTTCAGGCGTACTGAGCATAAATTGCTAGACCTAGATTTTATAGTTTAATAGGCAGTCGATCTGGGATATGGTCGACATAAGGCCGTCCGCCTTTACCTCCCAGGGCTACACCTGGTACCCCTGTAAGGCTGGAACAACCTGGAGCCATAGTCATTTTTATAAGAAAAAAGTCAGGATCTGAATCCAAGCGCTTCGGATCCGTAGACGAGCGCCTAGCCACTACTCCACAGCGGGTCCCACTGGACTGGACCCATCATCAAAGTACAAAGCCTAGACAGTGTAGCATAGACCTCGTGTCGGCAATGAATCACATCCAATGTTTACTCCAAAGGAAAGGTAACATCAACACGGTTGGGACAAAGCATGATGCTGAAACTTCAGGATCAGAAAAGCAGTACTCATGTCTGCCCGCCTGTCCCTGCGTCACTCCTAGACCAGCCGCCAACCAAGCCTCAAGGGTCTGGTCTATCCTGCCAAAATATCATTACGTTTTCCGGTAAATTTCCTTTTCCTAGAAAAAAATCTGGTATCCTTCACATATAGCGCCTTCTCAGAAGTCGACATTTTATACAAAACACAACTTAAAGACCATTTATGTTTTTCCCCCTCTCTTTTTAATGTAATTGTACGAGAAGAAGTTGTTAAGTGAGGGCAATCGTATCCTAGTCTGCATGCAACTGTGTGCAGAAGAAGTAATATTATTTAAGGACACAGAATGTCCTCTTTGCAATACCCAACGCACGTGGCGTGACGATATTGCAAAATGCGCATGCGCAGCAGCTCGTACAAGATGGCCACAGCACAGTTATCATGCACCGTGGAAGAACAATGAGGTGTTATTCGTTTTTGTTGTTGATGTTGCTATTGTGAGAGAGGGTGTTATCGAAGAATCAAGGTTCAGTATGGAGACAGTTTGTGTCAGTGGAAAGTGCATGAATAGGTGGAATGATTTGAAAAGGAAAGGGATATCGTCAGTGATAACTAGCGGAGTTCGATACCGGGGTCTCCTCATAGAAGGAGTTGTGTTGCTGCAAGTCAACCGCCCACCCCCTTCCCCACCCTGGCTCCTTTCAGCATCCCTCCCCACTCCACGGCTGCGCGTGTAGTCGATAGTGGAGTCCTGGGTACTGGCTTCACTCAAAAGCTTCAACCTGGCGGGCACCTACAGTCTTATGGATCATTGGGCTACACGTGTTGCGAGGCAGAAAGACTATGTCCTGAAACAGAACACAAAACAGTTTTCATTCTGCCTTCTTGTTAAAAATAAAAATATAACAACTTGTGAATGCAGCCGCCTTTACTTAATGACTTTATTTTGTATACTGCAAGTATACTGCAGGCGGTGTCGACGATGTTTGGAACCCAGGTGAATTTACCTTCTAGTGTGACGTACATCCGGCTGAAGACTCCACCCAATAGAAAGGCGACGACGGGACCCAACATGGCGGTTGCCGCCATGATACCTGTGGGAGATGTGGGCACAATAATTTTAGTACGGGACATATGAACACAATCATTATAGGGATTGGGTCAGGTGAACACTATTGTTTCACGGTATCACATGTGAACACAATTATTTTAGGGTGAGTCATGTGGAACACAATCAGTTTATGATGGGAGAGGTTAATACAATCATTTTAGGGTTGAAATGTGTTCATAATTATTGTAGGGGTGAATGATGTGTTTACAGTCATTTTAGGGTGATACATTTGAACACAATCATTTTAGGACTAGAGATCGGTGCACAATCACTTTGGGTGAAAATTGTGTTCGCATTAATTTCAGGGTGGAAGATAAGAGAAAACAGTTATTTTATAGCGAGCAATGTGATCATACAAAGCAAAGGACAAGATAGGAGGGGAGGGGGAAACTCACATTCAGTTGAGTGTGGTAGACGTTAGCACGTCCTTACAGAACGGGAAGTTAAAAGTAAGTAAAGTCGAGATCCCTTTTCACGCCTTTAAGCGCATCGGGCATATGGGAAGAGCACCCAAATTTTTTTACAGACCAATCGGCACTCGGTGGGTAATGTGGTCAGCATTACGCCGGCCGTCTTTACTTATCCAGAACATCCATCCCGGTGCCCAGTTTAGGCTGGGTCGACCTGCGACGCCCCATACCGTGATAAAAATCCACGCAGCCAGCAGTGGGTTTCGATTGCGGTGCGTTGGAATTACGAGTCAGACTCGCAACGCCTAAGCCACGGACGCCGCCATAAAACGGGAAGTGACAGTAAAAAAAAACGTTAAGTACATGATTTGGAGCGAAATTCTTTTGTGTGCATAAACAGTAATTTGTTGAGATTACGGAACATTACTCGGAAGTCCTGTCAGGGTTGTAATGTAATAACAGGTACTGAGTCAATGTCATAACAATTAATCATGTGTCTTCTTCACCGTGAAGGTTGGCTGCAACACGCTCTGTCTGGGTTGTTGATTCTCTCAGACAGATGAGGGTCCATCTCCTGATGTTGCTCCCCCCCCCCCCCCCCAAATGGATCATTCTCTAAGCTCGTTCGATTGCTTTCGACGTTTCCATCCAGTATTGTTTCTAAGAATGTGTTGTATCTTTTAATCGGGCAGACATATTTTAATTATCTCTTTGTTTATTTCTCTCAGCAACTATCAAGTTATTCACAGTCTTGTCAGAATCTCTGTAGCTGATTGTTTCTGTGTACATGCGAATATGTTGACGTCGAGATTAAATAATCCAAAAACTGGAAGAGATGACCCAAGTTTTGGAGAGTTGGCGTCAAAACTTGGAGTTGAAATTTGACAATTTCTAGAAGAGATGTCGTGTGTAAACCCCTGAAGATGTCAGGACAGTCCTGTCAAGTCACGAAGATTTAATTTAAAAAAAATTAGAGAAGATGTCAAGGCAGAACTGGGAGACGAAAAAAAAGACACTGTAAACCTCAATGTTATAAAATACTGACCTGTGTGAACCCCAGTGAAGTGAAATACTGACCTGTGTAGACCCCAAGAATGTGAAATACTAACCTGTTTAAACCACAATGATGTGAAATATTGACCTGTGTAAACCCCAAGAATGTGAAATACTGACCTGTGTAAACCCCAAGAATATGGAATACTGACCTGTGTAAACCCCAAGAATATAAAATACTGACCACTGAAAACCTCAGTGATGTGAAATACTTACCTGTGTAAACCCCAAGAATGTGAAATACTGACCAGTGTAAACCTCAGTGATGTGAAAAACTTACCTGTGTAAACGCCAATGATGTGAAATACTGACCTGTGTAAACTCCAGTGATGTGAAATACTGACCTGTGTAAACCCAAATGATGTGAAATACTGGCCTGTGTAAACTCCAGTGATGTGAAATACTGACCTGTGTAAACCCCAATGATGTGAAATACTGACCTGTGTAAACCCCAATGATGTGAAATACTGACCTGTGTAAACTCCAGTGATGTGAAATACTGACTTGTGTAAACCCAAGTGAAGTGAAATACTGACCTGTGTAAACCCAAATGATGTGAAATACTGACCTGTGTAAACCCCAATGATGTGAAATATTGACTTGTGTAAACCCCAGTTATGTGAAATACTGACCTGTGTAAACACCAATGATGTGAAATACTGGCCTGTGTAAACCCCAATGATGTGAAATACTGACCTGTGTAAACCCCAGTGATGTGAAATACTGACCTGTGTAAACCCCACTGATGTGAAATACTGAGTTGTGTAAACTCCACTGATGTGAAATACTGACCTGCGAGAAACCCAGTGTTGACCTTGTCTGTGTTATCATCCACGTAGACAATAGCAAACGAGGCTCTGGGGGCCTTGCCGAATCCCTGGAGGGCCATTCCAATGACGATAATGATGAAAGAGATCTCCACAGCTTGTTCTGAGGTCACCCGGGTTTCCCGATAACCTTTTTGAGCTGGAGATACGAGGCACTGGAGTTAACTTATATTATGTAATGATTTTGTTGTGGGCACTTAAATGCTTTTCTGACTACAGACAACATACACATTTTTTCTTCTGCGATCTCAATTAATACACAAATCGGCACTGAGTGATGTGGTCATCCTCAGGCCGGCTGCCTTTACTTTCCAGGAATGTGCCTGGGACCCACTAAAGGCTGGGTCGACCTTGGAACCTAGGTTATTTTTGAAAAAAGTTCGTCTGCGCTAGGACCCAAACCCACGACCTTCCGATCCGCAAGCGAGCGTCCAACCGCAACACCACTTGTCGTATACTGTCCTTAAACAGCAGTAATTAGGGACAATAAAGACAGTTTATAATTGTTTTAATTACAGCAGCATTATAATCCTACCGGTAGCAATCCCACAAGGATCCCCGCTGTTGTTGAAGATGTCACACAAGCTGCCCAAAACCGCCGACTGTTTGCTGAAGTTGGACTCTGTTCTGTTGATGTTGTCTGTTGTTGGATTTTTGTTGATAGATGCTCCAAACAGGAAGTGGGGGAGGGAACAGGATATGCCGGAGATTCCGTAGATGATGACTGCGACACCTGAAAATGCAGACAATACTGTAATACACCACTGTTTTAAAATATTTGATAATACAAACGAAATGTAAGTAAAGTAAAGGTCCCTTTACCACGCCATTAGGCATATAGGGCACATAGGGCTAGACCTATATTTGTATAGACCGATCGACACAAGATGTGTGATGTGGTCAGTATCACGCCGGCCACCTTTACTTCCCGGGACTGCATCCGGTACCCACTTAGGACTGGGTCGACATGGGAGTCAAGGTCATTACAAACGAAATGCGTCATTATTATATACAGATGGATCCGTATTTTAGAGGTAGAAAGAACTGATGGGGATTTATTACAATGACACTGGTTAAAAAAAAACGTCGCATCTCATCATCATGTAGCAGGTCCTTTGCAGAACGTCGCATCTCATCACAGTCTGCCTGAAAGAAACTCGGTCTCTTGCCAGTTCTCCCGCCACATGAACTTTCATACTCAAGGAATCACTTATATCCTGTGCCCATCTTCGTGTCGGCCGGCCCCTGCCCCTCCTTCCTGGTACCATGCCTTCTGCTAAATATTTTCCTATCCGTCGTGGCGCTTGATATGACCAAAATATTTCAGCTTTTTGAGAAAGAATGCTGTTTTTTAGCCAATCTTCCTTGATGTTCAGATCTTTTGAGATGTCAATATTTCTCATCTTCTTTGTCCAAGATATTATGAGAATCTTTCTATAGCATTTCAGTTCAAAAGCCCATATTCTCTTTCTTCAGGACTGAGAGATAGTCCACGACTCACATCCGTATGTAGCCACAGGGAAGATGCCTGCTCTCAAAATTCTAATTTTTATCTCCTTGCTGGTGCTTAACCATAGACTTTTAAGGCTGTTTAATCTTTGCATTGCTATGGCCATCTTTCTTTAAATTTCTGTCGAACAGTCTCCATTGCTGTTTATTATAGAGCCTAGATATTCAAAGTTTGTGACATTTTTAATTTCACGTCGCATCTAGCGTCAAAAAATCCAATATGAGAATAGAGGGGAAGGCAGTCACGACAGTTTCTGGTGGTTTGAGTTCAGCACAGCCCAAATTTTTTTTAATTTATAGACTCGCAGAGAATGCTTCGGCAAATAGAAACTAGCGTCCTAGTCAGAGGTTGGCTTACATCCTATGATGAGACTCAGAGATCAGGAGCATGCTAAGGATTTTCTGGCCAGGATATTCGGGTTTGCGGAGTAACATGCAGGCTGACAGATTGGCTGCTGCTACGCCTCTGCACGTTGTGCTATTTTATGATAAGGCGACGTTGTGTAGCCGGTTCTTTTAATCAGGTTGCAACTTGTACTGTTAGCATATCGACTCTTCATTGACTACTGAAGTAGGGGTCGGGGCACATGTGGGTATGTCGAATACAGTGATGTCAATTAATTCATTCATTATTTTTTTTTATTCAAGGAGATGGAGGGCGTAGGGATGTGTCCCAATTGATCTGACGTCATCTAATGTACCCATGTAACTCTAGAATGTTTATATCCTTCCGCCTGTCTTTACTTCCCAGAACATCCCCAGATACCATTTTGAACTGAGTGCAACTAGAAATACACAGGGTAAACAAAAAAACAAACAAATCCTGCATGCAGTTAGATACGAACGCAAAAAAACCTTTACCTGGGGAAGAATATTGACCAGTTTATAATTTGTTATTGTAGTAGTATGAAAAGGATGTACATGTGAGAAGAACAGAATAATGAAAATTTAACCTAGAAAGCATGTCGTAAGAGAAACAAACGAGAGTAAGCGTAATCTAGGCTTCATCCTTGCGTTAAAAAAAATTAGCCTAGAACCCAGCTGAACATCAATGATTCTACAAAGATTTGGTGTGTGTTGATAGCCCATGCTCCATTGGGAGACCAAAGGCAGGAGAGACAGAAGCTCTTTAACCTGTGTGTTTACCTAGAGATCTAGGAATGTGGGTCCGCGGGGCCATGTAGCCCGCAAACAGAGCACAGACCAGGTACCCGATGTCGTTGGCTGACATAATGATGCCGGTTTGGTATGAACTGAAGCCAAACTGTCGTTCCAGTGTGGTCACCTGTAACAGAATTTAAAAAACTGAAACTCTCAAAAGATAACTCAGTATCTAGCAGTTGCTTAGTATTAGGATATAAAATCTGGACTTCTCAAGCATCAAGTAATTGTTTAGTGGAAGGATATAAAATCTGGACTTCTCAAGCATCTAGTCACTTGTTTCCGAACTTCAGTTTTGCGTGCTTCTCCGTTTTTAGATCTGGCTTATTTGTTTGCAGACTGTTGGTTCTCATCTCCCTGGCTGATGCACGCAGATTTCCAAGAAACCACCTCTCACTAGTCGTGTTTCATTTTATGGTGGCCTTTTATGACAGACTTGTGCGAGTTCAGTGAGTATATCTTTTCACCCCAACATGAAGTCTTGTGACCTACATTGGGAAATAGTTAATTGAGTATTTACATATTTCATTAATTATTACATATTGTATAATTAGTCTAATCTTTTATGAATTCCTGTTATTCATTAGTGCAGTCTTTTGTGAATTCCTATTGTTCATAAGTGCAGTCTTTTGTGAATTTTATTGTTCATTTTTGCAGTCTTTTGTAAATTGTATTGTTCATTATTGCAGTCTTTTGTGAATTCCTATTGTTCATTATTGAAGTCTTTTGTGAATTCTTATTGTTCATTATTGCAGTCTTTTGTGAATTTTATTGTTCATTATTGCAGTCTTTTGTGAATTCTTATTGCCCTTTAGTGCAGTCTTTTGTGAATTCTTACTGTTCATTATTGCAGTCTTTTGTGATCTTTTATTGTTCATTAGTACAGTCTTTTGTGATTTTTTATTGTTCATTAGTGCAGTCTTTTGTGATATTTTTATTGTTCATTAGTGCAGTTTTTTGTGATTTCTTACTGTTCATTAGTGCCGTCTTTTTTTATTTCCTATTGTTTTATTAGTGCAGTCTTTTGCGATTTTTTATTGTTCATTAGTGCAGTCTTTTGTGAATTCTTATTGTTCATTAGTGCCGTCTTTTGTGAATTCTTATTGTTCATTAGTGCAGTCTTTTTTGATTTCTTATTGTTCATGAGTGCAGTCTTTTGTGAATTCCTAATGTTCATTAGTGCAGTCTGTTGTGAATTCCTATTGCTCAATACTACATTCTTTTGTGAATTTATATTCACTAGATACGAGAGATGCCAAAATGTTTGTGTGTGTTAGATAGAGAGATGTCATATATTCTGTGCATGGCAAATACGAGAGATGTTATACATTCTAAAATCTTCTTGTGATATCTAAAGTAAAGTAAAGAACTCTTCCACGCGCCTGTATGCGCACTGGGGGTATAGGGCTAGACATATATTTTATAAACCAATCGACACTCGTTGTTTGATGTGTTCAGCGTTACGCCAGCGCCTTTTACTTGCCAGGATTTTAACTGTCAGACCTGAACCCGCCACCTGCAGATCATCGGGCGAGTTTAACTGATACACCACAGTGGCCCCCTTCCACATGGTCCGGGGGTGGTCACTGTACCCGTTTAGGAGTGCTGACCACAGGAATAACACCTCAAGGACGAGAATCCAACAGAAGCAGATCTCGTAAACCTTGTCAAATCGGTTATATTAGGACATCTTACAGTTACAAAGTAAACTACAGTTTAATGTGGGTCTTGGAGAATATGCCGTTTCATTGAACTTGCTTGCACAACCCACCTGAGAATTCACGTAGTGCGTCAGTGTTTGCGTCAACAATCCCGAAACGCTGCAAAGGGCCGTGAATACACCAATGTTTGCCAGAGACTGCATGCGAGCAGATCTACATATCCAGAATCCACGGCGTGTAGCCATCTCAGACTTAACATCCAGGCCAGATGACGACTCGTCCTTGTCTTTGGCGGAGACTTTCTGAGACACCGGCTTGTAGACTGAGGCACTCATTGTGTGGTCGGGTGTTTGCTTTCTGGGCTCACTGTCTGGTTACTGAGTAGAGAGATTCATGAGGAGACTATATTGAAACAAGGATAATTTAGAATAAAGTACACGAAATGACGGAAAGGTGCACATTCTGATAATAATAATTATAATTGGCTATAAATCGTTCTACCAGTGTGCTTGTCCTTCTCTATGGGTGGGAGTCATGGGCAATGACAACAGATGACAGAAGCCAGGCTTAGGCCTCAGAGATGAGGTATCTGAGAAAGGTGGCCCAAGGGACATAGAGGGGAAAAGTTCGCAAGGAGACAATATGTCATGATATTGAAACCCAGGCCTTACGAACTCGAGGGGATCAGTTACAGTTACAATGGTTTGGTCATGTATGCAGAATGGGAGAGAATCGGCCACCGCGGCAGGCATGGGAGACTAAGAACCAGGGAACCAGACATCCAGAGTTCGCTGGGAAGACAACATCTCATAGTCCCTAACTGACAGAAGGACACGAATGAAAGAAAAAAAAATTGCAGACAGAAAACAGAAAAGTCTGGAGTTCTCTTTGATTAACCTCTACACCTCATGGTTGAATTTGCACATTTTCCTGTATTGCCACACTCAACAGGCGATGTAGAGAAGAGAATCCTGTTGCTGTTATTGCAGAGGTCAACGCTCTCATCGGTGAAAATTCAGACGAAGCAGATGCACTAATCTATACAGACGGATCCGTTATATGCTAAAGAAGAAGCGCATGGGCATTCACAGCACGCTCAGCGGGCAGAACAGTCAAAGAAGCCAACGGCGCCTTCTCCATGACAACCAGCAGCATGACAAAACACACACAAAAACACAAAACTACACCCGCGTATGTATACTCAGTGATTCAATGAGTATTGATCCAGAGTGTTCAGGAAGGTTCGGGAAGAAGACAATGGCTTGAATCATTACAGAAGTCCACTGTGTGTGAAGTCACCTTTATTTTTGTTCAGGGAGACGCAGGCGTCGATGGAAATGAAAGAGCTGACAGGTTGGCTGGATCCGCTATCACTACCGACTGTCAGCCTATTGATCATGCTGATATTATTAATACCCCCAGAGAAATGGGATTTATAGAGTACTTTGGGGGCAGTGAATCCACATCACTCGCCAGAATGGCAGACATGTGAATTAAGATCAGCACAGCAAAAAACGAGACGCACACCAGACACGCCAGAAGACTTGTTAATCAACATAGAACTGGTACTATTAGCCATCGGATGTTGGGTTCATACTGAGGGGAGGATCTGAGCACCTATGGACTGTCCGGAGTGCAATGATGATAACCCAACTAGCTAACTAACTAACTAACTAACTAACTAACTAACTAACTAACTAACTAACTAATTAACCAGCTAACTAACTAACTAACTAACTAACTAACTAACTAACTAACTAACTAATAACCAGCTAACTAACTAACCAGCTAACTAACTAATTAACCAGCTAACTAACTAACCAGCTAACTAACTAACTAACCAGCTAACTAACTAACTAACCAGCTAACTAACTAACTAACTAATTAACCAGCTAACTAACTAACTAGCTAACTAACCAGCTAACTAACTAACTAGCTAACTAACTAACTAACCAGCTAACTAACTAACCAGCTAACTAACTAACTAACTAATTAACCAGCTAACTAACTAACCAGCTAACTAACTAATTAACCAGCTAACTAACTAACTAACTAATAACCAGCTAACTAACTAACTAAGCTAACTAACTAACTAACTAACCAGCTAACTAACTATGCTAACTAACCAGCTTAACTAACTAGAGGAACTAACTGAGTAACTAACTAACTAACATCATGGTTGAAGAGGATTGATTGAGTAAGTAAGTCAAAAAGTGAATAATAATAATATGTGGCTGTTTGTGGTTTTCAACAGGTCAATTTTACTTTCAGTAGTCTGTATTACAGAGCACGTCAGACTAGTGGGTATGACAGGCGTAAGCCCGACGACACACAACAGACAGGCATGACTTCGTAATCTTTCAGAAAGAATATAGCAGATTCTGAGCTGAAATGCTATTGAAAGATATTAAAACTACCATGGACCGAGAGAGAAAAGAAACACTTGCATGGTTGTAGATCTGAGTATCAACAAAAGTGGCTCATGGACAGCAACTTGTCTGTGCAACTAAAACATATTTGAGATGTTAAATACTACGCTCGTCATCTGGATTTGTAGTTCTACCTCTGGGGACCACAATAAAGGGCATTTGGAAAGTCGGGAACAACTGTTCTACGGCTTCACGCCAATCATGGTATGCTGATAGTTACATGAATAGAACAAACTGTCAGGTAGGCTAACAGTATTTGCTTACCTGGAACAAACTGTGCGGAGACTAGCTACATTTATAGACATAGAACAGAGTGTATTCAGACTAGTGAGATCTACTTACCTATAAAAAACTATAAGTAGTCTACATATATTAATTAATATAAAACTAACTGTATGGAGACATGCGATATTTACTTGCACAGACGAAATTGCATGGAGATAAACTTTTTTTTTTTTCGTAGAACAATCTCTTTAGAGACTAGCGATATTTACCTGTCTAGACGAAATTGTATGAAGATTAACTAATTGTTTTCCTGTAGAACAAACTGTGTTGAAACTCAGCGATATTTGATTACATAGAGCAGACTGTATGAAGACTAGCCATATTCAAACTGTTGTATAGACTTATTATATTCACATTTTTTTTAAAACTCGACAAATGGGAATTAATTTAAACAAGCAAAGGATATTGCACAGTTAAATATTATGAATATCCGACACAATAGAAACAATCAGAATGAAAACACCAAAAATATACACCCTTGAAAAAAAAACATAATAGAACAGTTCATGAAGGGCTCAGTCTCTACATAATTATTGACTCGATGAAA